CAAACAAAAGCAAGCCCAGGACATCTGAACCTACTCTGTGTCCCACAGACACGTCAGAGGAGCAGCTGGGAAGGTGTGCAGGCTGACAGCTGAAAGTTAGCTCTGTCTCCATAGAAGCCGAGGGAAGCTAGGCAGACATGTTTTTATCGTCACTGGGTAGCACAGAGTGCACGCACTGCAGTGAACTGAGACTCAGGGCTGAGCGTCAGCGGTGCTCAGCAAGAAGAGACGCTGAATGGGCTCGCCTTAGTGCAATCTCTGTGAGCTGCATGACGGTAGATGCCCATTATGGCATCCGAGGGCTCCCTGTTTCTACACACACACAACAGTCACAAATATGTTTTAAGGATTTGTTTTATGTGAACATGTAAGTGGCTGTAAGCATGCATAGGTACTGTGTGAGCACACCATAGTGTGTCCAGAAACCAGAGGAGAGCATTAGATCCCCTGGAACTGGGGTTACAGACAGCTGTGGGTGCTGGAACTGAACCTGGGTCCTCTGCAAGAGCAGCAAGCTCTCCTAACCATTCATTGGGCCATCTCTGTCCCATAAATAAGAAGAAATTTAAAAAAGAGATTTCGCCAGCCCACATGAGGCAGTCTTCCTCCTCGGCCTTGCTTCCCTCTTCAGCCATTTGTCTCACTGTCCTTTTCCTCATGAACTTTTTGCCCAAAATTTCAGACAACCACTTCCTTCCCAGCAGGTTCCAATTCAAAATGCCAGCTTTTCGAGAAGCCACTTCCAGGAAGTGGCATATCCTACCATTCTCTGTGACACACTTTTATAGTCCTGGCTGTCCTGGACTCGCTCTGTAGACAGGCTGGCCTCTCACAGGAATCCCCTGCCTCTGCCTCCCTGAGTGCTGGGATTACAGGCGTGTGACACCACTGCTCAGCTACTATACAGACTTTGAATATCTACCTCCACGTCCCTAGCATCCATGACATCCATAACAGAGAGGAAATAGTGAAAAATACTTGCTGACATTTTCTAGGAGAGATTATATAAAATCTGTATATAATCAATATATAATTTATAAAAACATCTACCTTTATCATCTATCATCCACCCGCCACTACCCACCCACTGATCTATCTACTTACCTGTCTGTCTATCTGCCTATCCAGCCATCCATTTATCTACCCGTCTGTCTGTCTATCTCTACTATCTATCTATCCATTCATCCATCTATCTCCATCATCTATCTATCTATCTATCTATCTATCTATCTATCTATCTATCTATCTATCTTTCTATCTATCTATCTATCTATCTATCTATCTATCTATCTATCTATCTATCTATCTATCTATCTATCTATCTATCTATCTTCTTTCTGTAGTTCTGGCTGGCCTCAAACTCAGATCCACCTGCCTCTGCCTCCCAAGGGCTGGGATTAAGGTGTGTGCCCCCTAACCTGGAGGAATTACACTTTTTTTTTGTGACTACTAAAGGAGGTTCCACAGTTAAGAACACACACTGAGGGGCTGGAGAGGTGGCTCAGAGGTCAGGAGCACTGGCTGCTCTTTCAAAGGTCCTGAGTTCAATTCCCAGCAACCACATGGTGGCTCAAAACCATCTATAATGAGATCTGGTGCCCTCTGCTGGTATGCAGGCAGAACACTGTTTATGTAATAAATAAATAAAATAAATCTTAAAAAAAAAAACAAAAACAAACAAACAAACAAACAAAAACACACACACACACACTCTGTTCTCTCAGACAGACCTGAGTTTGGTTCCCAACATCCACATTAGGCAGCTAACAAGCACCTGTAAGTCTGGCTCCAGGAGACCTGACAGCCTCTCTGGCTTCCATAGGCACCACGGCAGTCACAGCGCATATCCACAAGCACATGCATGCACACTAAGTGAGTGTTACAGGGTGGTAATTACTTTGAAAATAGATATTTTAAAACATAAAAAAATAACTAGAGGAAATCTAAAAGCAACACTGTCAGTTCTCAAAAAGGAAAAACAACTTTGTGGGTTGTTTTGTTTGAAACGGTTTCTCCTGGCTGTCCTGGAACTTGCTCTGTAGACCAGGCTGGCCTGCCTCTGCCTCCCAAGTGCTAGGATTAGAGGTGTGGAGCACCACTGTCTGCTCAGCTATGCTTTCGGATGCTAAGAAGCAGTGGTATTTGTGGACCCTCTTTAGGATCTGATGTTTCTCTTTCTAATCTTCCTTAACAAAGATGAAACAGGATTTGGGGTGAATCTGCTTAGGCTTACACACGAAATCTTTTGCTGAACATGTTTTTGTTATGCATGGCTTTGAGATAATGCAGTTTTTAATTAGTACAACTGAAACTTTGGAACAGAACCTTATATAACTGGCTCAGTTCATTATACTTAAATGAAAGACCAGCAGATGTGGTAACACAGGAGATGCCAACCTCTAGGCTCCAGGTTTCAAAACAAGGACATCTGGGATGGAAGAATGTATATACGTTGCTGAAACTTTTGAAAAACCAGGCAACTGCTTAGGCAGATATTACACAAGTAAAACACAGGGACAAATCAAAAACGTGTTACTTTTAAGGCAGTGAGTGCGGCTTCAACTTTTTCAACACATATATTGTTGGAATTTGAATATCTGCGTGGATGGTTGCTTCTTTAACTTTAAAATATTTAAGATATGTCTCTCAATCCGGGCACGGTGGTGCACGCCTGCTACCCTAGAACTCAGGAAGGCAGAGGCAGCGATCTCTGTGAGCTCAAGGCTACACAGAGAAACCCTCTCAAACGCAAAGTAACTACATTTTTTAAAAGTCAACTTTAAGAGAATTGAGAGAATTTGTAAAATAACTAGCAAATTATGCTGGAGTCACATTTTGTTTATAGTTCTTGCAAATTAAAGGGAAGTTAGAGTAAAAACTAATGAGGTCACTCACTGATATTTCACAATCACAGAAAACATACCAACAAATGTCTCTAAACATTTGCCTTTGGCTCTGTCCTTGGAGCAGAATCCCTCATACCACATGATGCGAGCAGGCTTTCCTGGAATGGGGTTGGCAGAATGCATTTTTCTTCTATCCAAGTAGAGTTATTTTCTCACAGGGATGTGAACACACAGGACGACATTAGAGACCCTGGGAAATCCTTCAGTAAGGTCAGTGGTTTATTTTGTTACTAAATCTCTTTTTCCAAATATTCTTAACCAAGGAATACTTGATTCAAAGAATGTATGTATCTGTGTGTGCCTGTTGTGCGTATGTATGTGTCCGGGTGTGTGGGTGTGCGTGTGTGGGTACGCCTGCACAGAGAGACCATCAGCTGATGTCCGATGTCTTTCTCTAGATTCCCTTCTTTATCTGAGCTCGTGAGTTAGCTAGACTGGCTGCCACCGTGCACCTGAGTCCTCTTGTCTCTGGCCCCACGTGCTCCTGTAGCCTTTACCCGGTGGGCACGCGCTGCTGTAGCTTTTACACTGTGGATATGCACTGCTGGTGGCAGGGATCCAAGCTCAAAACCTGACCCACTCAGCCATCTCCCAGCCTGACAAGACTTAATTTACTGTGATCTTATCTTCATCCCTGCTCAGCCATAGACTCTGACTGAGAAGACACCCCTGCTATACGCACAGCCGGAGACAACCGGCTGGGGCTAAGTGGCACCCAGTAATAACAGAACCTTTAGTGACATAACTATTGAAATCCTAAGACTCAACCCTCCTCCTCTTCTTTTCTTCTTCCTCCTCTTCCTTCTCATCTTCTTCTTCTTTCTCTTCCTCCTCTTCTTCCTCCTTCCTCCTCCTCCTCTCCTCCTCCTTCCTCCTCCTATACTTCCTTCTTCCTCCTCCCCCTCCTCTTCTGAGGTAGTTTCTCACCATGTATCCCAGTCCTGCCTCAGTCTCCATCGCACCCAGCAGTCCTAAGTCAGTGTTATTAAAGACATAATTACATGATGGTGCCAGTGAGATAGCTCAGTGGGTGAAAGCCCTTGACAAACGACTCTGAGGACCTGAGTTCACTCCCAGAACCCATGTAAAATGCTAGCTGTAGCAGCTCACACATCTGTTACCTTGCACTCGTAAGGGGAGCTGGGAAGAGACGAAAGAATTAGCCAGAAGCTCACACAGACAGCACAGCAAAGAGCATCAGCAGAGACAGAAACATGGAGGAGAGAGAACTACACATTGTCCCCTGCTATCCAAAGGCTTGCACGAGACACACACACACACACACACTTTTAAAATTTTGCATAGAAGCCAGGCACAGCGGCACACGCCTATAATCCCAGCACTCAGAAGGCAGGGGCAGGCGGAGCTCTGAGTCTGAGGCCAGCCTAGAGTGAGTTCTAGGACAGTCAGGGCTGCACACAGAAACCCTGTCTCCACAAACCAAAACCAAAAACAAAACAAAAAATTGCACAGAGATGGGCTAGTTTGACAGTAACCACCTGCTTGGCTACCTGAAGTCAATGGTTTGTGCCAGAGCCCCATAAAAACAAAACAAAACAAAATAAAGTTCTGAAATAAGCGTTTGAGACATATTGAAGGTCTTAGTCGAAAATAAAGAGTTAACTTAGTTAAAACCTCATCTTTAAAATAATCGTTCTACAACCAAATACGGCTATTGATCTTGAACTGAAAAGATAATTTTTATAAAATATTTTAGATCACCAGGAAAGAAAATAAGTGATAAATATATACCCTTCAGAGAAAATTTGGTGTTTGATACAACTCCATTTATTGAAAATATGTATTCTAGAAAGTCTATACATAACACACTTAAGCATTTTGAAAATCTGATATATAGTAAACCACATTTCAATTACATTTGAAAAAAATCTGTTTTTTAGTGAGAGTGCTTCCATACTGCCTTACCTGTACTTAGATTCCTGAAAACTGAATTTGTTAAAAAGTTAGGAAGTTCAGCAGAACGGTAACGTCAGACTGCCTTTATGCTGGAGACATTTACTAATCCATCCTTATGTAGTAACTAGTCTGGTACAGACGGTTCTTCAAAAATAACTAAAATGTTGATATACTTACTATGATTTTCTTACAGTCCTTCCCTCTGCAGAGCTCTGTATAGGTTGAATACTGCACGTATATGATCCAGCTTCCAACAAATACCACCAGCCAGGAGAAGAACAGATACTTCACCCGCATGTATGAGAAACGGGCCTGCAAGGGAAGGACACGTGACAGTCACTCACTCAGTAGTAAGCCTCCCGCACTACCCTGGAACAGGAGCGCTCCTTGCTTGGAAGAAGCACAATATATAATCCAAACGTTTATATGCCAATTCTGGGACAAGGCGCATTTTCAAGGAGCCTAGACTACACAGGTCTTAGAAGAGTAAGCTCTGTGGTCTTGCCAAGGAAAGGAAACTGCTTGTAAGGTGCATGTACGCCCTTTCCAATACCACCACCCACCCCTCCAAACCAGACAGGACACTTTCCATTTGGGAGAAGCTGACCAAACACTGTTTCATATAAGAATGTTAAAGGTCTTTATGAATAAACTTAGTACCAAAATAGTTTATCCAGACAGTGGCAGCACACTCCTTTAGTCCCAGCACTTGGGAGGCAGACACAGGTGGATCTCTATGAATTTGTGGCCAGCCTGGACTACAGAGCAAGTTCTAACCCTGACCCGAGTTCCAGGACAGCCAGGTCAGAGAAGCGCTGCTTGGGGGTATTTGGGACGGGTGGCTGGGAATGGCTGAGCCAGGTGTGGTGGTGCACGCCTGTAATTCCAGCACAAGGGAGGTGGAGGCAGGAGAAGCTCAGGGCCATCCTTGGTTACAGGAGCCAAGGCTATACAAGATCCTGTCTGAAAAGAAGAAAACCAAACAAAACAGCAACAAAAGAGGAAACTGTAAGGAAAGAAAAGCACAAATCATTCCCTGCATGTCAACTGGCAAAGCCACACTCGGGAAGCTCTCTGCATCGTTTTGTGTCCACTGCTCTGACACTGCCTTGCAGGGTCAGTGCTCTCCAACAGCAAAGGGGAAGCCATTTAATACCCAACGAGGTGGTCGGTCAACACAGCCTGGCAGCTAACATCAGAACCGAGGTCTACAAAGAGAACTGAGCAAAATAACTCGAAGATGCACACACACAAGGAAAAGCTAGTTTTGCTTTTACATTCCTGAGCCAGTTTCTCACCCTTGGGAAACAGTAGACTACTGTGAGCACATGAACATGCGAAGAAAGCAGACGGAGACTAAAGAGTCGAGCTACACCAGCAGGAGACAATGGGGTCAGAGGGAAAAGCCAACTACCAGTTCACCAGAAATGGTGGAGACAGACCGCAGAACTGGCAACCTTGAAGCAAGTAACAGTTTGAGCAAACTCCATGCTGTGGAAACTGCAACACAAAGATACCATTTCTTTAACAATGAAATCACAAGGGGCAAAGTGAGAGAAGGAGAAACCCACAGACTGAAAAATATTTAAGAACTACAGCAAATGGTCACAGCATAGGAATCTTTTTAGTGTTCTGACTCAAATTTTAAAAAACTGTAAAACAAACAACAACACCAAACCAAAGAACCAAGACCTGGACAATGGGGACTCCAGCAGACATGATAGCACGAAGGACACTCAGAGCCTAGAGAACTACAGACAACCAAGGAATGCTGGGAGAGAGAAACAGTCTCCCCAGGACAAACCACACACACAAATGTGGCGCTGTAAAGACTGAGCAGGTTCTATTTGTATATGTGTATACAACTTGAGAAAAAGAGGCCATGCATCTGAGGACGGTTACATGGGAACAGCTGGAGAGAGGAAAGAGAAGAGGGAATGACATAATTTTAATATAAAAACATTCAGAAGATGACATTTGAAAGCCAGTAGTGATGAAACACAATTTAATCCTAGTACCTGGGAGGCAGAGGCAGTCTGATTTCTGAGTTCAAGGCCAGCCTAGCCTTCATAGAAAGGTCTAGACCAGTCAGGGCTATATAGTGAGACTGTCTCAAAACACAAAACAAAACAAAAGAGAAATTGGTATTTGTGAGACTACCAAAGGTTTTGTTTTCTTTCTGTATTTCCCCCATTAAGTGTGTGTGTGTGTGTGTGTATTCAAGTACCACAGAACATGTGTGGTGATCGAGGGACAACCAGTGGAAACTGACTGTCTACAGGCACCATGTGGATTTCAAGGGTTGACTTCAGGTCTCCCCCGTTTGGCTGCAGGTGCCTGTGCTACTAACCCTTCCCGCCTACATGCTCTTCCTCTGTCTCTCCCTCTGCCCCCTCCTCAATTCTAATTTTTTTCAGTGCTGGGGACTAGACCCAGGGACCCTGCTTCCTAAGCAAGCACTCTGCCACTGAGCTAACCCCTAAGCCTCACAGAGCATGACAAAATACTTGTGAGACAACTGATAATTTGAAGAACACTGGGTGATGTGAAAGGATGATTCTGGGGTAAGAGTATTTTGCTCTTCTCTCCATGAGCTGCATTCTCCCACTTCCCCTGGCCTATGTTCAAGCTGAAGAACGCCCCGGGAGCTGAGGTGTTCCAGGAATGCTAACCCCACACCGAAGGCCAAATGTTGTAGAGGAAGGCAGATTAATGATGTCCCAGCAGGGTGCTGGGCATCACCTGTCGTAGACATCATGACCAAAGAAGCAAAACACATTTTTATCCAGCATGCTACAGAAAACTGCTGTGACTTCAGTATAAAAACAAAAAACAAAAAACAAAAAAAAACAGTGTAACGGCCTTTATACTTCCCTAATACCTGAGAGCTGCAGCCTTACTCTTTTACTTTTTTTTTTGAGACAGGGTTTCTTTATGTAACAGCCCTGCCTTTCTTGGACTCACTCTGTAAACCAGGCTAGCCTCAAAAATCACAGAGATCCACCTGCCTCTGCCTCCCACATGCTGGGATTAAAGGCGTGCACCACCACACCTGGCCTCAGCCTTACATTTTAAAATGACACCTGAAAAAAGAAACAGCTATAAATTACATCTCTAACTAGGTTTATTTTCCCCATGTAGCATTTGCTAAATGTTTCTAGTGATCTGTTTTTGTAACAATTACCTACAATCTAGCCTTTGATTAAAAAATATGGTCCAAAATTTTGTTTATGCTTGACAATTTAAAATTACTACCTAGCAGGGTTTTTACTGTGTTGATTTTGCGCTTGGCTCCTAATAGAGCATCGCTTTATTTCAAATTGTGCTGCTGTAAAGCAGGATCACAGTGTTCGGTAGCACACAGGACAGTGATCCTCAGCTTCGTGAGTACGGCCTCTAGTAAGGCACTTGGTAACATCGGAGACACTGCAGTCTCAGGCTGTGTTTTAGTGCTGGACTCTCATGGGCAATGTCCACTATATTCCCTGTCCCAAGCACCACCTAGCCCAAGATGTCAAATTTGTACATCATTTTCAATTAGCCTCTAATGCACCAATTATGACTAATTTAAAAGATATGTGACATCTATCTGGAAATGGCAGACCTATTAGTAAGAATCATCACCCATTTTCTAATTTAAATAAAGAAAAGCGGTGGTGATAGAAAATACACACATAATAAACAAACCTCCTCAGTCAGTTCCACAGTAAAGAATAGCAGTGCCCTGGGTTCAAAGCCCTGGGGCCGTCCCCAGCACAGCATAAGCCAGGCATGTGTTACACATCTGTAATCCCAGCACTGGAGAGGTAGAGGCAGAAAGACCAGAAGTCACAGTAAAACTCCGCCATGGAGCAGGTCTGGGGCCAGCCTGGGGGACATGAAGGCCTGTCTCAAAAACAAAGGCAAGGTGCTAAAGAGACGACGCGAGGTTAAGAGAACTGGCTGTTCTCCAGATGACGCAGGTTCAAGTCCCAGCAGTGGGCAGTAACCACCTGTGAATCAGGTGTCGAGGAATTTGACACCCTCTTCTGACCTTCGAAGGCACTGCGTACGAGTGGTGTATAGACATGTGTGAGCAGAACACCCATAAAAGGGGGAGCTGGGCATGGGGCACGCCTTTAAGCCCAGCACTCTGGAGGCAGAGGCAGGCGGAGCTCTGTGAGTGTGAGGCCAGGACAGCCAGGGCTACACGGAAACTTTTTTTAATTTTTTTTTTTTTTTTTTTTACAGAGAAACTCTTGTTTCAGAACAAACAAAACAACAACAACCAAACAAGAGAATTAGCAACTTCGTTTCCTTTAATATTGCCGATATTACTGTGATAATTTATCTTGAAACAAAACTGAGGATTTTTTTGTTGGTTTTATTTTGTTTTCTCTGTGTAGCCCTAAAACTGCTATGTAGACCTGGCTGGCCTCAAACTCAGGAGATCTGCCTGCTTTTGCCACCCGAGTCCTGAGATTAAAGGAATTCTTACATGATAGTTGATTTTTCTGAAACAAGTGTTCTAAAATGCCCGGGTGTGATGGCACATGCCTTTAGTCCTAGGGAGGCAGAGGCAGGCAGATCTTTGGGAGTTCAAGGCTAGCCTGGTCTACAAAGTGAGTCCAGGACAGTCAGGACTACACAGAGAAACCCTGTCTCAAAAAACCAAAAATAAAACAAAATGCCCAGGTGGAAGCTACACCATGCCTGCAGCACTCTTTTGGTATCCAAGAACAGCTGAGAAAAAAATGGACAGACGTACAGGCTGAGTGCCAGGAGGAGTGGCTGACCGAGGGTCAGTTGTGCAGGCCAGGTGGCCTCAGAGGAGGATGGAGCGGCAGGACGCAGCAGTGAGGGGAAAGGCGCGGCTGTGATAGTAGCCGGGGGTAGGCTAGCCTAGTTAGTGAGGACCAGGCCCCAGTGAACTGCCTCGTCTCAGAAACCCAGGTGAACTGCTCAGGAGGAACGCCCACCAAGGCTACCTCTACATGCCCACAGGTACAATGTGCGTGCAACCCGCCACAGACGAAACTTCACTGGGTTGTCAGTGAAACTGAAGAAAGAGTTTGGGAGATTCTGCCGGGAACCTGTTCCTATGTGACTTATGGACCCAGGGTACTAAACACGGCAGCACATCTCTACTTCCTAAGAGAAGCCAGCTTGCAGTCTAGGCGCTCAGGTAGCCAGAGGCGGGAGAGACTGTCCTCTCCTGTCCACGCGTTCTGCCTTAGTGCCACTGACAGGACAGCTGGAGGGCGTCTGTCTAGTTTACTCTCTCAGCCACCCCTGAGGATGTCTGTAACTTGCTGAGCAATTTCTGCATGAGG